GGGGGGGGATCTCTTTAAGGGCAGCAGTCCCTTTAAGACTAATGAGCACCTGATAATAAGCTAATTTATCTATGCAAATAACTCCCCTAGCCCCTTAGGAGACCTCTGGGCCCCTCAGCCTACAATCAACCCCCTGGGGGGTGGCCCCATGCTAATTAATGCTCATTAGCCCCTATTAATATTCATGTCAGGCACAGGAAGGCAGGGGTAGGGGTGCTGCTGGTGAGCAAGGGGAACCGCAGTTTACAGAGGTGCAGGGCGCCTGGCCCTTTAAGAGGGAATTTGCCCCAGCTGGGCCAGATGGGAGGGGTAGGTGGGGCTGGAGCTGAGCCTGGAGCTAGACCCGGGGGTAAGTTCATAGATTTCATAGACATCAGGGCTGGAAGGGACCTCGGAAGATCATCGAGTCCAGCCCCCCGCCCAAAGGGCAGGAAGTCAGCTGGGGTCATAGGATCCCAGCAAGATGAGCATCCAGTTTGCTCTTGAAGGTGTTCAATGAAGGCGCTTGAACCACCTCCGGTGGCAGGCTGTTCCAGACCTTGGGGGCTCGGACAGTAAAGAAGTCCTTCCTTATGTCCAGCCTGAAACGATCTTGAAGTAGTTTGTGACCATTCGACCTCGTCATCCCTTGGGGCGCTCTGGTGAACAAACGTTCCCCCAGATGCTGGTGGTCACCCCTGATAAACTTGTAGGTGGCCATCAGATCACCCCTGAGCCTGCGCTTTTTCAGGCTAAAGAGCCCCAGGGCTCTCAGCCTGTCATCGTAGGGTCTGCTTCCCTGACCTCTGATCATGCGCGTGGCTCTTCTCTGCACTCTCTCAAGCTTCTCCACATCCTTTTTGAATTGTGGAGCCCAAAACTGGACACGGTACTCCAGCTGCGGCCTCACTAAGGCCGAGTACAGGGGGAGAATGACGTCCCGGGATTTGCTTGAGAAGCATCTATGGATGCAAACCAGAGTTTTGGTCGCTTTACTAGCTGCCGCATCGCGCTGCAGGCTCATGTTCATCTTGTGGTCAATGATGACCCCCAAGTCTCTTTCTT